TTATGCTACACTAGAAATACAGTATTTGTGCAAAGTTTTGGTCCGTTATCTTCACTGGTGTTAAACTCATATACTATAAAGAGAACGAATCGGATGGACTTCAAAATTATGGTATGTGGGAAGTATGTGTGGTTGTGAATATATTTCGCCCAATTTCGAACCATAGATGCTACGGAAATGGTTCGAACCGAATTTCGCTGTATTTGGTCGAGTAGTTTCTGAGATATGGTTTTAAACCCATAAGTGGCGGAGACATGCCCATTTTTAATTTGAATGTAACCGCTCTGTGTCGTCTTTGCTATGAAATTTAAGGTTTCTTGTGTTTTTCCTTAAAGCATTTTTAGTAGATGATCACTTTGATATATATAACACTATATCTGACTCTTTCAGTTTTAGAACTTACAAACAACCGTTATGTGAACAAAACTATAATATTCTCCTTAGCAACTTTGTTGCGAGAGTATAAAATTTAAGCTCAAATTGTGAGATAAAAATGAAAAAAAAAAATTAATAAATTTTAAGAAAGTAAAAAGTTGCTCTGACATTTTTTTTATTAAACTCACTAGCAGTTATCGGATTTTACAGTGGTTGCTCAAATAACCACTCTATAATTAGCATAAACGCAGTAATAAGAGGCAAAAAATTAAACCTAAATAACTTAATAAATATTTATCAAAATAAGTTTGAGTCCGTGTGTGTGTGTGTGTATGCCTGAAAGTGTGTAGCTTCCAATTAGAGTTCCCACGCTCTCAAAAGCCGACCGCAACTAATAAGAAAATAAGAAAAAATGCCGTCTTAAAATCATTAAGACAATCATGCGCCCTCCCCTTGCTATTCAAGCTATAGCCCCCTTTAGTTGCCGCTGTTGGTGTTGCAGATTTGGGTGGCATGCAACTATTGGACCTTCAAACGCAAGAATTCGTAATAAGATGCAAAAACTTTCAAACCAAAGACGCTGGCGGCACACACACTTGCCGCAGAACAACAGCGGAGATTTCTATGCTATTTTTCGTGTTGTTGTTGTATGTATATTTTTTTTTGTATTTTCATGCACTCGAAAAAGCATTTCCCATGAAGAAGTGCAACAAAGTGCCTGAGACGTCAGCAAAAGTGTGCACAAACAAACACCCATAATTATTACAGCTATATCGCTGTGCAACAACAAAAACAACAACAAGTGCAGTGATAAAAATCCACGCAACGAAGTTCCAGGGACGCTACGAAATGACCCTTCCGCGCTTATCACAACATGCACGGCATAATTTAATCACACCAGTGGCAAGTAGCAACAACAATGAATAACAACAACAACAACACCTGCAATGTCTTGTCTTATGCCTCAAAGACAAATTAGCATTTTCTTAGAATACCTATAGTGACTTAGCGCCCCTGCTGCCGTGCGCACGCTAAGAACGCACCAAAACCACCACCGCATTCACCACATTCACCAACACATCCACCACCATGTCTCAGCGGCTACAGCGTCCGTCAGGCGTGCGCTCGGCGGCTACCGGCGCACAGGTGCCGCGCTGAGGTGCTATAAAACTTGTTGTTGTAGTTGTTGTTGTTAATAGTGGTGTTGCTGGCGGTGCTCTCAAGCGCAACAAGTTTCGAAATAAAAGTTTTGCGCAATTTTCCCACGCGATTTGTGATTTTTTGTTTTTATTCTTCCTTTTTCCTCACTTCACTTCCCGGCAGCGTGTGAAAAGTTTGCGGCAGCAACTAAGCAACAGCAAAGTGGAGTTTCTAAGATGTTTGGAAGAATTACGAGCTATCAGATTTTTGAGTTAATTAACCGCTAAGAAAATAGCATACATATACATGTGTATATATATTGACATATCACCTGCCACTGAGGGTGAGTTGAGCCAAGGAGTTTTCCTATTCAAACTAGAATTTCATGACAGGCTAAGAAACCGCGTCATGCAATATACTTGCATTGCTTTTGTTATTGCTCTTTTTGGTGGTGGTGGAAAATGTCTTCTATTCTTCCAGTCTTATGTAGAATGTCTTATAAGAAAATGTTCTAGTTTATTGTGGGAACTTCTTGTTATTATTATTATTTTTGAGCGCTGCATATTTGCTTGGGAATTCTAATTGGTTAGTTGGGGGAGCAGCTCTGCTATTAACTCTCTAAAAATTTAATGAGTCTCCGACATATTCCTGCATGCAACTTCTAATTTAAATCTTTATAATCAGTTCTCGATAGTTTATGGAAGAAGAACGGACAATTTTGTTGTTATTTCCACATTATATAATACATAAGTAAGAGTTGAGAGAATTGGAAACCTCACGGCATAAACTGTATATCCTGAATTCCAGCTCCCATGACTTATTCTTGATAAGGTAAGTCATACCGAATCTCAGCTAAGCTAAAATATAGAAAAAACTGCTAATACTTGGTGCGATTTTCCGGAAAGATGGCATAGAGCATGTGGAAATTTTTACCAAAATTTGCATATAATGTTCTACGGAATTGGAAGCCGCTGGAAAAGACCACTTTCTTGAAAAAATTTGCGAGTATTCAACCTGCAGCTCTCATCAGTATATGCGATGCATTATGAACCATACAAGCAATGGCGCCCCATGCCTTGCTCCATATAAGATGGTGGACGTAGCCGAAGTCTGGACATTCTGATGCGCTTACTAGAACAAGTACTTCAGTGCTAAAACTGGAAAGGGTGCGTCAATTGTTTGGCAGAAGATGAGGTACAATGATCTCAACACTTCCAGAAATGTCCTGAACAGATCAAAGCAAAATCACTTCGTATAACATATCTTCTGACATCCGGATGAAGTAGAGGAAATAGAAGTTGAACACCTTGCTAGATTTGTGATAAGTTCAGTGCGCTTTGCCGTTAGATGATACCCAGTTACAGGAATTTTTCATCTGGTTTTTTTATGGACTTTAAATAAAAGTCTAAGTGTGGTCCCCCGTCATGTGGAGGTGTCAAGCCATCTAACCAAGCATGTAAGAAATCTGCATTAAACTTTTAGAACCACCAACTATCCAGACATAAAGATTAATGCTACAAAAGTCTTAAATACCAACACTAGACAATTTTTTCTTCCTTTTTACCTTTCGCAGTGATCTACAAGTCCTTTCATGAGACATTGTTAGCACAATGGCGCATGGCGCCACTATCACCTTCGTATAGTTCTCGTAGACAACTGCTGTAAAAATTTCATACCCATCGGACTCAATGTTTTATTTTACTACGTGTAGAATTGGGAGTATCCGCACTTTTGAGAAAAATGGAAAAGTTTTCGATCATCTTATTTGGAAGGTAGAGGGACGTAATGAAATCAAAAAGCGTTGGAATATCGAATATAGTGTCTCTTCTTCTTACACGGCGACGACAAAATTTGATTTAACGAGTTTCAAAGCGATTGCAAGTCGGATTTCAATAACCCATTCTCATATGCACCGGTCACGGTTATTATGGAGGTTATGTTCACAAAAGTACACGATCTCCGATTGGCAGAGCGCCAAATAAAAGTGTGCAAGAAGTATGCTTCTTAAAAGAACACACGGATTATATCTTGAATGAAATACTGGGTGTGTTAAAGCTGTTGACGTGATGGGGTTTCTTACTCAGCATAATAAGGGCAACCGTAAAACTCGGATTATTTCTCGGCGAGTGGAAGTTTCGTAGCATTAAGAAATCGCACAGAGCCAAATTTGGAGAGTACGGAATAAGAGAGCAGTTCGGAGCCACATTCAACCAATTTTTCCCTGAGCATTGGCGGAGGTGTGATTCGATGCTTTGTCATATTTGAAATGCATTTTATCTTCATCAAATACAAAGGGTGTTTTTTGCAATCGATTTGGAAGCGGCTGAATAATTCGGCATAGTAGAACTCAGAGCTCATTTTGACTTTCACCACTTTGTTGATATAGATTATACTTTGTCAAGTGCAAAAACTAGTACTAATCACTCTTCTGATAACCTTCGACTTTTACGGAACAGTTTCGCCGGTTGAAGTCCACTGTTCACCTCTGTTGTGTACTAGCGATTCCATGCTTTGTCAACGGTCACACGGTTAAACGGTCAAAACTGTCTCTTAAGAGCATTCAGAATACATAGGTTATTCCTCATCCACGGAGACAATATCAAACAATACGACGATACCAGTCTTCGGTGTCAAGTAACTTCCGACAAGCAGTGACCACCATTAATAGCGGAGCCACCAACACTTTCAGCGACTCCCTCTCAGTGAATGGCGTACTTGGCGTCAGACTACCATTCAATGCTGACGCAGAGCTCGATTTTCCGCGAGAAACGAAGTGAGCCTATCGCACGTTTCCTATTCCTACCATTGGATGATGTCGATGACAACTTAGCTAATTCTTACCATCCTAACGGGAGTTAGCTACAACAAAAACATTATAATGTTACCAGTCTTAAATTAATAACCATCCGATCAAATTTGACCCGAAACTTGGCAACGTTTAATCTAACATTCCAGGTATTTGTTATAAATATAGGCTGGAGTCGTCTCTACTGTCTTTAGGGCCATTCGCCAGAATGCTGGACAATTTCGACGTTATATTATATATCCACGTCTCATCACCAGTAATGATACCTTTGATGAATGTAGGGTTCACAGCTATGTTGTCAAGCATCACAAACCTTACTTGGTTTCAAAAGATTCAGACCTTTTAGCATGAGTTTACGTTGGCACGCTCATACCCAAAACTTTCAACTTAAAATTCGGCATGTGTGCTTACCTTGGTTACAAAAATGTAATAACAACAAATAATTAAAATTATTGGTTATGTTTCCAATAATAATATTTTATTTTGTATGTGTAGGTGTGTAAGTATGAAGCAAAATACGTGATTTCGATCAGACGATAACTTTTCTACATCTTTATATGAATATAATTGTCAAATCTTTTATTTATATATTTATTTTTAATATTTTGTAAAACTTTTTTTACTCATAGGTAGACCTGAAAATATACAATATTAATTTTTAACTACTAAATCATTTTACAATATTTATATACAGAATTTTTGCTAAATAAAATATTTCTACTTTTAAATAAATATCAAAGAAACATTTTTCTATCTAATACTAATGCGACTGCCGGCCCATTTGGAGCCGCGTTTTATCTCTTTCGGTTTTAAAGTCCAATATCTTGTAGCAAGCTCATAAATCGAATTCGCTGGCTCGTGCTTGGGTTTTGCAAGGAGTGCAAATACAAATACATAGTGCAATTACGACAAATTCGAGTGCGAATTGAATGCAAATAGAGCGTGAATTGAGTGAAAAATTTAGTACGTATACAAATACGACTCACCATCAGCTGATTGATATAAAACTCATACGGTATATTGCCAGTGATGKGATCGATAGCTACAGCTAGCATTTCATCGAGCTCCTCCTGTGTGAAGGGTTCACCTTCCTCCATCATCATCTTGCTCATATACTCTTTGGTTATATAAGTCTTTTGCTCTGGATCCAGGATTTGAAAAGCAGCGAGAATTTTCTCCGGCGAAGCTGGTTCCATTCTGCACGTAAAAAGCTTATTATATTTTTTTTTTACTTTTTTCCCCGTTGATCTACTCACTTTCGTTCGGCTAACAATTGCGCCACATGCGGCATGAATTTGGATAGATGCACATCTCCTGCGGATTCCTCCATTTCGGTTGCCGCGATTACTTCATTTATCTCCTGCTCAGTGGGTACACAGCCCAGAAAGCGCAACACGGTGCCCACTTCGCGTATGTCGATGCGCTTATCGCCGTGATGATCGAAGATGCAGAAGGCGTCGGAGATGCGTTGCTCCAGCTCATTGGTAATGGGTACTGTGTGGTGAAGTTTGGTTAGTTTGGGAGTTTGATATTTTTGTATGTACTTTGCAGGTACTCACTAGCAACCTCCATGGCTTATAATTTGTATATTTCAACACTATTAATTTATTAAAAAATTTTTTTTTTTTTAGTTATTTATATTTTTATTATTTTTTTCTATTTTTTACGTTTTTCCAGTTTCACAAATTTTTTATGCAACTTTTTTATGTAAATACAATTTTTTCCTTGATTTTGTATTTTTAGTCCCCCTTGACAACTGGCTTTGTTCTCGTAACAAAAAGAATATCGATCAATCAATAGACTGACTACAGGGTGTGTGCCTTTTAAATATTTTTTCTTTGCAGCAAAATTTAAATTAAATACTAGAAATCAATAATATGCATATATAGTATATTAGATAATATGTCTAGTAAAAAGTAATACATAATTTTTGCATTCTTTGGATGAATTTAGCATAGCTAGAATGGTTTACGTTACGTTGCTGGAAAAAAATTGCATAAGACCACTTTCATAGAAACCTTCGTCTCTATTGGCAAAAAAACATAGAATGTCGATTTTCGTCAGCTTCTCCAGAAGCGATTTTTACCAGCAAAATCTTTCGCCATAGACAGAAACAGGTAGTAATCACTTGGTGCTTGGTCTGAATAGAAGTTAGCTGTGAGAGGTTTTTTAATAAGAGCGCTAAAAAACAAAAACGGTTTGGGATATCAAAGAAATTATTTTTTCCCGTGAACACTCGATGCCATTTTATATAGAACTCGATTTCTTTTGCATGGCCACCATGGACACGCTGACAGATGTCCAGACGCTGAACCCAATTTTCGACTGTATTGTAGCATAACTCTGCCGATACTACTGCAATTTTATGTTTGATATTCCTTTGAAGTTCATCAATCGTTGCTGGTTTGTTGGTATAGACTGGACGTAGCCCCACAAGAAATAGTCTAACGGCGCCAAGTCGCACGACCGAGGTGGCCAATTGACTCGGATATTTCGATCAACAAATTTGGCTATCAATAAATCGATTGTGATACTCGATGTGTGGTTTGTGCCGCAATTCTTACCATCCAATTCGCGACAAAAATATTCGTTCATCATTGAGCGGTAACGATGCCCATTCACAGTAACTTGCCGGTCGTGATCATCACGAAATAAGTACGGTTCATGACGCCGCCAGCCCATAATCGCTGAAAATGATTTGCCAGCATAATTAACGAACATGCAACGATTCTGGTTGTCAAGCGGGTTCAGTTCTTACGTAAATTTCATCTTCTAAGGATGTAGGGCAATATCTTTTCGAAAAATTCGCCACACCGAGGTCACAGAGATGGCCAACGCATGAGAATGATGTGTGAGAGACTAATTTGGGTCTTCCTCAATTGATGCGCTAGCGGCAGCAATATTCTCGACACTACTTTATTGTGCCTCTCAAATTTTTCCACTATATGCTCAATCATTGATCTGCCATGACGATTGTGATGAAAACAAATTGAATGTAGCGCTCTTAAAGTTAAGGCCACTGACTCAAAATTTCGATAGTAAATTTTATTAATTTCGACTCGTTGTTGGATCAATGCCATTGCCGCAATTAACCCACTTTTCGTCATCAGAAAAGTTTCTTTTCGTATCGAGCGTAATTATATTGATTCCAAAAGGTTTTTTTTTATGGCATGTTTAGATTATAGGCATACGAAACAATGCTCACATGGCTCAGGCTCGGTCGAAAAGTACGATTTCCATTACTATCACTGATATTTTCGACAGTTGGCCTTGTCAGAGGGTGCTGCATTTTTGAGATCAAAAGTACCGGAATGGAATCGACGAAATCGAAACTGCGAATGGTTGTTTCAATATCAAAACCATAAAGACTATTCACACTTTCAGTCGCCTCGCTTAAATTTTCGCCTTCATCGAAAGGAAATATGTAAAAATTGACGTATTTCCACTCTGCTGGTGTTCATATTTGACGCGTGTTCAAACAATACTGAGCTAAGCAATCTCTAAACTGTCTGAGCATTTTTTTAGTACCATTCCCAAGTCATAGAAAGTAACTCTATCGCACTTATATGACTCGAGCCATCTATTGGAAAAATAAATATATGAAGAAATTAAAAGGAAAATGGGAGAACCTCTATTACACAGTAGATAAATAGATCGGTAAAGTCGAGATCTTTAAACCATTTTACAACTGCGATAAACTGTTCCATAAGATCTTCTGATAAATAAGTGAACACCAGAAATAGCGTATGCTCTGCTCTTTGGCAACCTATTAGTTGTAACATTGGTAGACACATAGTTCATGACATGAAAATTCTTAGGTGTTTCTAATGCAGTTTGATACCCTGAAATCAAATCTGAAAAATGAATTTTTCTATCACCCACAACTATTCTGTAACCTGCGGCTTTAGATTTTACAATACATAAAATTTCATCATATTGTGTCAACAGTTTTTGTTATGTGTGCGAAGAACTAACTTTTAAATCCCAAAAATGTAATAAATGGACGGAAATGGAAGAGGGTTATTATAACGGAAACAAAAATTTCCAAGACTCAGTGAAGCAAAAATTAAGGAAGGCATATTTGTGGGTACGAAAATAAGAGAACTAATAAAGATAAAATAAATTTTGAGGAAATGCTCAATGAAACTGAAATACGAGCTTGAAGTGCCTTTAAAGACGTTGTTAAAAACTTTCTTGGAAATGTGAAAGCTGACAATTACAAAGATCTTGTGACTGAACTACTTACTGCCTATAAAGAAATGTATTTTTTCCCTGAAAAATTAGGGACCGTAAGTGACGATCGTGGGGAACGTGCCCCAACTGCTGGCATGACTCCAGCCGAATGAGTAGCTGAAATAAGTAAATTCAAAAAGGTTATTAAGTATTTCCTATACAATGACCTACGATCTTTGAAAAATATCAAAAATTAACAAAATGGTGTAATTTTGAAAAAAAATCGTTTTTTTTTTTGGTGAAAAATTGTCATTTTTTTTAATGCCAAATTGACAATTTTCAACCAATCAAAAAGATCGTAGGTCATTGTATAGTTAATGTATTCAAAAATACTCAGTTTTAATTTGAAGTCGAGTTATGACGCCAGCAATTTATAAAAATGTCGTTTCGAGAAAAACGCGTTTAAAGGTTCACTTATATAAGTTTGCACTTCCGAGCGGTCGTTCCTTAGAACGTTGCATTCAAAAACTATTCAAGATACGACCTTCCCGATTTCACAGGGTATTTATGGAAATATAAGCTATCGAAAAAGCAAATAAAAAAGTTTTTTTTTTTTGAAAGTGTCACACTGGTATAGCCCCTTACGAGATGCTTGCTTTGAGGAATACTCCAAAAAGGAAAATGGGAGATTGGTTAATAAAATAATATAACAATAATTTCTGTATTTGTGGCCATTTTTACATAATTAACTCTTTGTTCTGTTCATGCCACAAAAACAAATCCACTTGGTTACCAGTGTAATTAGAGCGTTCTCTTATGAAACTTGTCAGTGCTAAACTCGTATCCAAATCAAGTGTATGAAAAATTGAATTAGGTGTTAGTATGTTTGTAATGGCTCAGGAGCCTATTTTAAAAGCGAAAATAATGATTTGTATTAAAATATGAGAAAATGTAATTATTTTGTCAGTCAAATTTGATCAGATAGTGAATACGATTGTCATGTCTATGGGCCCCTAAAAGTAGAATATTTTCAAATATTCAATTAAAACAAAAAAAAGGCTTTTGTATTATTATGAATTTTTAGTGAAAATAAGCAAAACCGTTTTCTCCGAGTTTAACCACAGACCTGTTTGTGATGCCTAAACGTGGAAAGCTTTTTGTAATGTATATAGTCATTACTAATTTCTTTCTGAGAATATAAATAATATATAGACTTATTTAACGCACAGTAATAATAGGATACAAACGTACATATTTAAGTTTAGCATGTCGGCAAATACATACACCTACATATATGTATGTATATACTCGTTAACATGCATGGCTGCACTTCAAAGTGGCGCCATATTCCCCAAACTCCATTGTTGTGCTCCACTTACTTGGATAAGTATGTGGGTGCTACCATGCAATGCAGCTTCATGTGATTGGTCGGCACTTCGTGGCGCTCAGCCAATCAGATTGCTCTTTTGATTCGCTTAATGAGTTTAGGCACATGCATACTATACATGTTGTTGTATGTATGTACATATGTGCCAAAAGCAATTTTAAAAGTATGGTTTGCGAAGAGCTTTGGTAAAATTTTCGAAGTGTAACTTTGAAAAATGATTGTATGAAAGGTGTTTGACCTCTAGCTGCCTTTTATAGTCTTTAAAGAGTTTGAGATAGGTTTAATCACAATACAAAAAAGGAATACTCTTGCAATGTTAAGCGTCGTTTGCGCCAAGCTATTCGTAGCAAGTAAAGAAGGGTTAAGTTCGGGTGCAACCGAATATTTTATAGTCTTGCAACTTACAAGAATCAAAGCCAGTGGAATACTGCAAGGTGTAAAATGTGAATTAGAAGATCGAAATCCACTCAGCCGGAATTGCAATATTTCTACAAATACTTATATAGGCAATAAGTGAAGTTTTCGCTCAAATTTATTTATTTTAGGCACAAAGATGAGTAAAACCCGCTCTGTAATTTTCATTGACATAACTCACATATTGACCGGTATATGCGGTACAAAGTCAACAAGAAGTTAAAAAATCTTTATAATAGAGAAGTAAGTCCACAATCAACCCATTTTTGACACATAGACATACCACTGACAGGATTATCCCTGAATCTCAATTATATATCTCTCACTCTAATATTGGGCGATGTTTTTGATCAAAAGTCAACAACAGGTTTTGTGGTCCAAATATTCGTTACCTAGGGGCTCGAACAGTTTTCGTTGACTTTGAACAATTTTTGGTCATAAAGTGGCATACACTAAAGGCATCATTCGTGCAAGGTTTTATCCCATTATATTAATTTATACTTGATTTGTATACTGGAAAGTGAAAGAATCAAATGCAATTTAAAATTGTGCTATATGAGAAGTAGGCGTGGTTGTTTTCCGATTTCGTCCATTTTCGAACTGTGACATAGGAGAGTGAGAAAAA